ATGGGGACGGGGTCCCTGCACAGGCCCTGTGCTGTCCATGGCAGCTGCTGCACTTGTGCTGCAGAGCCCTGGCACCTCCCCTGGCACTACAGGCCCCTCTTTGGGTACTAAATTCAGGTTCAGCTGCCCTGAATTTTGTTCAGCAATGAAGGGATGTCCATGAGACAACTGCCATTGTACTCTAAGGATGTGTAGAAAATACCCTGATAAAGAACAGGAGAGAGACCTCCCTCCCTGCATTTGCTCAGCTGAGCACCTCTGTGGGCTGCCCTGGACAGGAGGAACAGTGACAGGTTCCCCTGTCCTACATGTGGGCCCCTTCTGCCACTGAAGTTGGCCAAAGCAATGTCCCAGCAGCCTCCAAGAAGATCCCACAGCTGCTGCCCTGTGCCTAGGAACTGCTCCATTGCAGCCTGCAGTTCCCAGCAGGAATCTCGGTCACCTCTGGCCCCTCAGAAGTGACCAGGGCTTTGTGTCCCAGCAGGTGACTCCTGGCTTTGGTCTTCATTCATTCCCACGGGAGATGGGACAAGGAGTCTAAGACGGTTTAAATAATTGCATGATCCACTTTGTGGGTACAAAGTTGAATTGACACAACTCTAGCTATATATAGGGTTCAGGGAAGGGGGGACATACATTGTATTTATATTTGAGGTTGAGGGTCCAGGAAGTGCAGGGAGATATTTTTCTTCAAACAGATAAACAGCTATTTCTTTATCACAATTACAACAGGAGATGTGGTAAACAAGGTGGTAAAAGGATTTTCGTGGACACAGCAAGTCTGCTTAATTAAAAGATAGTATAAAAATATCAGGTGGTATATGTAAAGAAGCTTTCCTTGTCTGTGTTTCAATCCCATGGTTTCTGGCTAAGATAATTTCTTATCTCTGCAGTGTCATCTGCCCCAACAGGAGTCACCTGCAGGTGCCTGTTTTGGGCCCCCTGAACTGGGGCGGGAGGAATCCCACCCCATGGGGGCTGTGGAGGGAGCTGAGTGTCCTTCTGGCCCCAGGTCTGCAGAGCCACAAGGAGACACCTCTGTTGACTCAGCTGAGTCCCTTCCCTCAGTGGGGGTGAAGGAGATCCCTCCTGGGCACTGTCTGGGTTTCCTGTCTAATGATGGGACATGAAAAGGGGACTCTTGAACTCAACTCAGTGTCTGTTTGGAGAAATGACCCTGCTGAAAGAAGTGTCTGTGCCCAGCTGAGAGAAGGAACATCATTATTTCCTTCAGCTGTGTGCCAGCAGGGTCCCCTGGAGCCCCAGGGACACTTGGAGGGATCCCTGAAGGGCAGAAGTGCTGCCTGGGGCTGTTGCTGTGCTGCTGAGCTGGGCCGGGCTCCTGGCACACAGGGAGCTCCTGGCAAGCTCTGCCCAGGAGCAGCTCCTCTGCACAGCCCAGCAGGGCTGAGGGCACTGCCTGCAGCACCCAGGGCACAGGAGAGAAGGCAGAGAGATGAGAGGCAGCCTGGGCTGTGTAGCACTAAATCTGATGAGAAACTTGTTTAAACATGTCTTAAAATGGCCTTTTGTGGTCTCTTTGCAAACAGGTGTTTCTTCTTCCCAGCCCCCCCAGGACAGGTTATCTCCCATGCAGGAATGTCCTGGGAAAGGTGTCCTGAGGTGTTTCCCATTGGACCTTGTTAACCCCATCCTGTGATTGGGTGTTCCTGTAAGCCCCTTGAGACTTCTAATTGGTTACTCTGTGAATCCTCCTAAACCCTATAAATGTAACATCCCCAACAATAAACTCTCTCTTGCCTCCTCTCCACGCAGGTGTGCTGTCTCTGTGCCTGCCATGGGACCACGTGTGTGGGGGGAGGGGGGGGCACCTCTCCCCTCCAGGCTCGGGGCCTGAAAAACCCTGTCGCTGGAGTCCCCTTTCCCCGTCCCTCAAGACGTCGGAATGGTTCTTCAGATGGAGAAGGAACTAGAACTGGGCTCCCCCACGTCGTGGGTGGGGAAAGGGATCCAGAGGGCTGGGAGGTGACTGAGCTCTCACTGTGGGAGAAACCTTCACGGGATTTGAATGAGTATTTCTCTGGCTGCAGGAAAGTTCAACTTCCCTTCCTGGAGGGATCTCCTAAAGCTGCCACATCCCACAGCTTCTAGGATCTTCCAGAAGGACTCACAGTTGCTGCAGTGCAGAGGAAGTGGCCACATGGCAGAGCAGAGCAGGAGAAGTGAGAAGGAGGTTCAAGGGATCCTGGGGTGGGAGGACAGGGCAGAGCTGCTCGGGGGAGGAACCTTCCCAGCCCTTTGCCATGATCAGGCTCTTGCTGCAGAGCAGTGCAGGGGAGTTCCTGCAAGTGCCTCTCCCAGCTGCCAAATGCCAGCAGTGGCAGGAGCTGCCAGGATGGCTCTGCTGGATTTGCTGGGGTGCAGCAGGAGAAGCTGCTGCAGAGCAGGACTTGCTGCTGCCCCCTCAGAGGCCCAGGGCAAGAAGGTTCCCTGGGCCAGGGCTGGCTGTGGGGTGGGAAGGTGGGGGTGCAGCCAGGGGTGCCCAGGGCTGTGGGGCAGAGCAGGGTCCTGCCCCCAGGGCTCTGTGTGCTGGGGCAGGGACTCTGCTGCCTGCCAGGGGCAGCTCTCAGCCCGGCCAAGGAGCTGCCACGGGGCTGGGGGAGAAGGTGTGGGTGGAAGGAGTGACCCCTCAGGGCAGGGCAGGGCAGGGCAGGGCCCTTCAGCTGCAGGCTCAGGGCTCCTCACAGGGCTCCTCACACCTCCTGCCATTTCCAGGGGCCCTTCTCAGGAAGCACATCCCCCCAGAACACCTCCCCCTTCCCAGCCACCGCAGGGGTCTGGGATCTGCTCTGCAGCCCCTGCCCAGGCAGAGCTGCCCCTGGGCACTGGGCTGGGCATGGCTCTGGCAGCACTGGCAGGGAGCTGAGCTGGGCACAGGCAGGGGCTGCTGGCAGGAACAGCTCCTCACCCAGAGACAGGTAGGCAGGGACAGGGAGCTGCTGCCACAAGTGCTGGGCAGGGGGATGTGGGCCCCTCCCTGCTGTCCCTGTGGCACAGACCCCTTCCCTGAGCAGCTCCTCCCTGGGCTCCTTTCCCAGCCTAAGCAGAGCCTGTGCCCTCAGGCCATGGCCCCTGGGCTGTGCATTGCCCTGCAGCAGCAGAGCCCAGGCAAGGACAAGGCCCCCATTTCCATCTCTCTCTGTGTGTCCCTCCTCCCTTGGCAGCCGCATTGTGGCATTTCCCTGCCATCCCCTGTTGGCTGGGCTGTTCTTCTTCTCACCATTGGCTTTTCTCAGGCAGTGCAGGGGCTTTGGGGTGGCAGGTTCCTGTCCAGACACAAACCCTTTGGGTGCTGCTGTGGGGATGTGTCTGTGGGAGCAAAATGCCCAAGTGCCCTCCAGGCAACTTCAGGACATTCAGCTGCTTCCCCGGGTGTCCTGCAGGGTGTCCTCCAGAAGGGCACAGCTCTGCCATAGTATCTCTGTGCTGTCTGGGATCCCCATGGAGAGGACACCTCGGTGGTAGAGCCATAGAAATGCTCTGGGCAGCTGCAATGATCCCTCTGTGCAGCAGTCTGGGAGAAGAAAGAGGAGATCCTAATCAGGCACCCTGAGAAAAGACAAGGAGACTGTCAATCTGCCCTTTGAGCCCAGATTCCTCTGCTCCCAGAAAGGCCCTGTCTCTTTTTAAAGGAGCTCCTTAGTGTGATCCTCCCTCAGCTCCAAGCTGCCAGCGAGGGGCGGCTGAGAACAGGAGTGATGGCCAGCGTAGTTCTTCTCTCTGCACTGAGACCATCCCTTTGCCTCCCAGGACCCACGAGATTTCACTTGGAGAACATCAGAAATGTCAGGGATTTCAGCCATCCAAATTCACTCTAAATGTGCCAAGTGAAACTGTAACAAAACTACAGCAAATCCCCTCAGCTCTGCTCTGCAGTTGGGCAAACTGTGAACAGCAGGGCTGGAAACGCTTTGATGTGTCACAGGCACATTTAATCTCGGATCACCCCGTGTTCCGAGCTGCCTCTCACAGCAAGGAGGATTCCTCGGGAGCCTGTCACAGGGTCCCTGCTCTCAAAGCCCCCATCAGCCAGCAAAACCCAGAGCTCAGGGGAGGGGGATGCAGAGACGTCTTCCTAAAAAGAGAGACACATTTTGCCAATAGAGTCTGACCTGACTCAGTCCTGCCTTTTCCTCCTCAACAGAAAACCACACCCTGAGGCAGCCCCAGAGCTGGAGGCAGCACTGCAGGAGGGGTCTCAGCTGAGCGGAGCAGAGGGGCAGAACCCCCCTCCCCTGCTGCCCACGCTGTGGGATGAGCCCAGGACACGGGGGGGTTGTGGGCTGTGAGCTCCCATTGCTGGCTCCCATCCTGCTTTTCATCCCCCACTATCCCCATGGCCTTGGATGCAGGGCTGCTCTCCATCCCTTCAGCCCCGAGCCTGGCCCTTGAGATCTGGGAGCATTTGACACCCGCTGGCTCCTTTGATCCCCTTTCCCATCCCTCCCAGAGCACAGGGTTGATCCAGGTGCTCCAGGGGCTGCCCTGTGTGCCCCCTGCCTGTCCCAGCCCCCAGCAGGGACATTCCACGATGCCCCAACCTGCACTGCTCAGGATGCACATCGAGGGGGTGAAGGGGATCTCGTGTGCAGAGACCCCCAGGAGCCCCCTGAGCCTCTCTGCTCATGGCAGGGGAGCGGCCAGAGAGGCACTGGGTGTGCAGGGGCTGGAGAAGGAGGGGACAGGGACATGGGAATGCAGGCACGGAGATGGGAACACACCCATGGAGATGGAAACACACCCATGGAGATGGGAACACACCCATGGAGATGGGAACACACCCATGGAGTTGGGAACACACACAGAGAGATGGGAACACACACAGAGAGATGGGAACACACCCATGGAGATGGGAACACACACATGGAGATGGGAACACACACATGGAGATGGGAACACACACGTGGAGATGGGAACACACACGTGGAGATGGGAACACACCCATGGAGATGGGAACACACACACAAGATCAAGCAGAGTAGCTTTGCTGAAGGGATTTATTGATCATTCAGGGGAAATGCCCCTGGGCTCTGAGGGAAATCAGGAGGTTCTTCCAGGGATGATCATCTCCTCATGCCACTGGAGGGGGACAGGGCACGGGTGTCACCACCAGTCCTGAAAGACAGAGCCCCAAAAGTCACCCCCAAAGTCCACTGCAACATGAGAGGGGCCTTGTCCTGACCCCTCTCCCTGCAGGCACTGCTCACCTCAGCCATCCAGGGATGCAGCCACGCCTTTCTCACCAACAGGACCCACCACCTTCTCCAACACAGGGGGCTGGGGACAAAGACAGGCTCAGAGACACACTGGGTGCAGTGGGATGTATTGGGAGCCTGGGGGAAGAAATGGGATCCTTGGGGAAGGTGCACTGGGGTATACTGGGGCAGACTGGGATGGTCAGAAGTGTCATGGCCATGTGAGGGGAGGACCCGACTCAGGCAGAACTCCTGGTACCCACCTGAGCCATCTTCAGGATCCCAACGTCCACTAAATCCACCTGGAGAGAGCCCAGGAGCCCTGGCTGGTCACTGGGATGTCCCCGGTGCCAGCGAGGGATGGGGGGACCAAAGTGTCCCCCAGTTCCCAGACTGGATGCCCTCCAGTCCCCCCGGCCCACTCACCTCCCGCAGATCATTTTGGGTTCCTGCCAAGAGTGCCTGGGCAAGGAGAGCAAAGGTTTAAGCAGGATTGGCCCCTGTGGGGCTGGGGGAGGGACACGGGGGTCCCCAGCCCCCCCAGCCCAGGGCTGCCCCCGTCTGAGGGGGAAAATCCCTTCTGCTCCCCCTGCTCCCACTGCCCCCAGTTTCACCTCCAACCCCTGTGCCTGCAGGGCCCAGGGTGGGGATGGAGACAAGGAGAGCCAGGGGAATTCAGGGCCTGCAGGGAGGGGGGGGGAGTGGGGGGGACCCAAAGATGCTGAACTGGGGGGAACTGGGGAGCCCACGGGACTGGGATTGGGGTGTTGAAGGGGCCCTGTGTGGGATGCAGGGGAGGGGAAAGGAATTCAGGTGTAGGGACATGGGGACTGCAAGGGAGAGGCTTGGTGGGGACAGGAGGAGGATGATGGAGGAGGACAAAAACAAGGGCAATGGGAGATGGTTGGGAGTGGAGAGGGAGGCAAGGAATGGTCTTGGGAGGTACCAGGGCAGTGGCCTGGGTGAAAGGCAAAGGTCTGAGGGGAAGGATGGAAAGAAAAGCTTTGGGAATGATTAATGGGAGGATATTTGGGGACCCTGGGTAGGACACAGAGCAGATGCTGGGGAGGAGATGCCTGAGGGGACCAAAAAGGATGGGATGGGAGGCCCAAGGGGTGGGATTTGGGAGCACCATTAAAAGAAACAGGTGGGGGCCCTCCCAGCAATTGACAGTGGACCTCCCTTGTCAGGGATTGCTGAATGGCTTCCTGTCGTTGTATCTTTCATTTCTTATCAAAAATCACCCAAATAGTTTTCAAACAGTGCCTGCCAATGGAGCTTGAAGGCACTCGTTCCATCAAAGCCATACCTGTAATTCAGAGGCATAAATAGAGAATGTAGATTTGTCTCTTAAGGTGCTCTCTCATTTCTACTAGAGGTCAATTAGCATCATGTAAAACATGATCATTAAAATTAAAAACTCTTACCCTTCTATTTCCCTTTGAAAAATAATTGTGCTGTTAAAACAATCACTTCTGTTTGATTTTTTAAAATCCAAATGAATGTGTGTACTAGTGCACACAGACAGGGCTCCCTCACAGAGAAGCCCATGAAGTATGGGCTGGATGAGCAGACAGCAGGCTGGTTGAAATCTGCTGGCTGGGGTGGTGATCAGGAGTGCAACATCCAGCTGGAGGCCAGTGATCAGCAATTCCTGGTGAACATCTTCCTTGATGATCTGGATGATGGGATATAGTGCTCAAGTTTAATGGAGCTGATGAGTTTACATTCCGACTGCAAGGAACATGTTTTCACATCTGAAGCAGGGGATGGGAAACCAGAGACTCACTGTGAACCCCGAATGATTTCCAGAGCCTTTCCAGAGCATTTCATTCCAATCCGGGAATTTTGGATTAAAAAATCACGGTGCTCCTCCATTACTCTGGAAAGGGGACCCTGGTCTGTCAGGAGTGAGGACATTGCTGAATCTGAAAGCTGGAGAAGACAACAAGAAATGTGTGACCCTCCAGAGGATGAAAGCCCTGGATGAAGTTGTCAAGAAGTTCAGACCCAAAGCCTTTCCAGTTTTACGGTTGTGTCTAAACATTTACTGTAGTTTTTCCCTTGTTTGTCCCCTGAAATTGTTTGATGAAAAATCCCCTTGATGTCTGTATCCTTAGACCCCGCTCCCCGATTGGCCAAAGTTTGCTGCATTGCAGTATTTCCTTTTTTGGCCACCCTTTCCCTAAAATGGATAAACCCTACCCCCTTTTTCCCTTATCCAGTTACACTTTGCATGCTGGGGTCCCATCTGGGGGGCCAGGAAGAGCTGTGCTTTGGGACCAATTACCTCTGCAGCTGCTCGTATGCCTTCATAGGCTGCTAAGATTTCCTTCTCCACAGGGGTGGAATTGGCCTCAGAACCTCTGTAGCTTCGGCTCCAGAAACCCAGTGGTCGCCCTCACGTCTCACCAGGCACCTTTGGCCAGAGGCTCCAGGAGGGACCTTTATCTCCAGCTGCAGAGTAGAGCACATTCTTTACCTCTGGTCCTGTCCTGACAGCTCCAAGAGCCACGGCATGTGCAATCTCTTGCTTGATCTGCCTGAAAGCTTGTTGTTGTTCAGGACCCCACTGGAAATTGTTCTTTTTACGGGTCACAAAGTAAAGAGGGCTCACCATCTGGCTGTACTCTGGGATGTGCATCCTCCAGAAGCCAATGGCTCCCAGAAAAGCTTGGGTTTCTTTCTTGTTTGTGGGTGGAGCCATTGCTACAATCTTGTGGAGGACGTCTGTTGGTATCTGGTGTCGTCCATTTGCCATTTCAGCCCTAGGAACTGGATCTCTTGGGCAGGGCCCTTGACCTTACTCTTCTTGATGGCAAAACCAGCCTCGAGGAGAATCTGGATGATCTTCTGTCCTTTCTCGAAAACTTCTTCTGCTGTGTCCCCCCCACAATGATGTCATGGATGTACTGGATGGATGGATGGGGGTCACAGCATCTCGGTTCCTCCGATACTGTTGCCTGTGTACAGTTGTCGTGGCCGTTGGCACTTCTTGTCCCCAAAGCTCCAGCGATTCCTTTCGTACAACAAGGGGACCAATGCAGCACCACCTCTCCAATTTTAAGTAGCATTTTCGCTGCCCTCACCACTAGGATCATTGTCGCTGAGCAATGTAGGGATGGGTTAGAGCTGATCTTGGAGTCTTTGCTACCAAACCTTGAAGGCCACCATTAAGGAAACTGGCTACTAGGCCGTGGGTGTCGAAATTAAGGAAAGGAAGCAATTTGTTCCATCCATCTGAACGGTCCCTTACAGGATGTCCTAGGACAGGCACAAAACCAGCAAGAATCAGGAAAAAAATTAGTAAAAAGGCCATTGTTATTATTTTTCTTTCTCCTTCTTCCTAAACAAAGCTATGTTTAGATAAACAAAATCCTTCTTGGCAGCTCTCCCAGGAGTGTCCCAAAACAATGGGGGATGTTTACAAAACAAACCTGCTCTTGGCAGCTTTCCCAGACAATGTTCCCACAACAAAACCAAAGGAACCAAAACAATCCCACTTCTGACACCAAAACCATCTGTAGCCGGTTGGAGTTGGCTTCCTGCCAAACCCCACAGACTACAGAAGATTACTACGTGTAAATTTAGGGTAGAACTTAGGTGGGAGGTTCCTGTGCCACAGAGCTCTTGCCCACAGTTTCTCTTGGAAAAGAATGGAGTTCCACAGCTCATTGCTTCCATTTCAACCTTTTTGGGCCTTTGACCACTCTGGAAAATCTGTACCAACCTGATGAGCAGAAGTCTTGGGCTTTACCACAGGTGTCTGGGTGGTGTTCTGAGAGCCAGACTTCTGCTCAGTCCCAAACTGAGGCCAACATGTCCCAGGCCAGGTGAATCCAGAAGTGGACTTGCAGCCAGAACTCCGCTGACAGCGCTGCTTGTGACCACAGATCTGCTTCTGTGGCGCTCCAAAAAGAGCTTGGTGTTCGCCACTGCAAGTCTCTCAGTAGCTCTGAAACATTCACAAGCACACACAGAGTCATCTTTGGCAGGAAGGCTTTCGCAAAGTTCCCCTCCACAGCCTTGGCTACTACTCGACTTCTAAAAGCCAAGGGCGTGAAGAGCGTCCAAAACCAGCACATCCTTTGATCTGAGCTTGTTCACAGGGCCTGTTTCTAAGAAATCACACCAAGTGCAAGGAGCAGCCAGTGGCACCTCCAGAAGAACTCTGGGCTACCCTGGCCTTCTCAAGGAAAGCTCAACCCTCAGACCCGCTGCCAAAACAGAAGCCAAGAAAGAGCCGCCTTATTTTGGATTCACAGAATCCAACTCTCTTCTCCCAGAGGCCTCTCCTTATTCAAACAGGAAAGGGCACAAGATTCATCTTTTCTGTCACCCACGGGATGAGGAGAGGAGAGACTGGCAAAAAGACTGCCTGCTAAAACAACCTCAACTTGAAAAGACACCAATAATGCCAGAGTGGTGCTGCTGTGGGGTTACTGCTGGAACTCTAAAGAGAAAGGAAGACAGGTCTGAGGAAGGGAAGGGTCTGAAGGAACTTTCCCCACAAAGATGCCACGTTCTGCTTTCACACCTGATGCTGGTCAGATGCAGAAAAGGGATTTCCAAGGAAAATGCAGGAGGAAAAAGGAGTCTGTTCTTACCAGTCCAAAAAAGCAGGGACTTACCTTTCCAGTTTCTTGGTGAGGCTTTTTCTTCTTTGGGCTTCCACCAGATACAGCTCTTTGTACTTGTCCACTTCTGCCTGGGTGGATTCCTTTTGAAAAGGTCTTTCTGCTTGGTTGCTTTTTGTCCTTCCCAGTGCACGTTCCAGATCTCTAATTCTGTCTTCTAACTGTTTTTTCAGTGAGTCCACATGACTGCTTCTGATTTCTTCTAAGGTGTCCTGGTGGGCTGCCTGTGCCTGAAGGAGACAGTGCACCTTCAACCACCACAAGAAAAAGAGAGCTCTGCCCAGCACAAAATTGCACACACCCACTTTCAAGGGCCCAGCCTGACTCAGAGAGGCGGCTCTGCCTCCTCACTCCCAGCAGCAACCAAGGCAGAACCCAGGAGCTGCCAGGGCAAACAATTCTTTGCAGTGGGAAAGAAGCCCAAATGAGCACTCTGCTTCAAAGCTCCTAATGAAGAGACACTGGGTCTGTAGGACAGGGCATGTCCAAAAGGATTCTTCAAAGACAAGAAGAGCACCTCCCACCTCCACCCCCTCCCTCCCATCCCTGGAATTTCAGTGCCTCCTTTTCTGAGCACTTTCACCCCTACAAGGACAAAGCAGCACCTGTAGGTCTGGCCATGACAGCTGCAAGTTGCCAAACCCATTCAAGGATGAGCAGTGAGAAGCAGAGCAGCGCACAGAGATCCCCCCAAGCACTGCAAAGTGGGAATCTGCCTTGGGCAGCCTTTGCATTCAGGGACCTGCCGGCACATTCCACACCCATGACAGCACTCCTGCCCAACCAGATTGCCTTCTGCCACTGCCTTCAGCAAAGACAGAAGCTAACCCACAGAACACAGGAGCAAAAGAAAAAGACCAAACACCATGGCCACAAGAGAAGTTTACGTAGCACCTGTGGACACTGGGGAGAAATTCACTTACTTGCAAAAACTCATTGACTTCTTGGAGTTTTTGTCTTATTTCCTGGTCTGCTTGTTCTTCCACCTCTCTTTTGCACTGTTCGAGTTGGCTGCGATCCACCACGTTGGTCTCCAAATGATGGTGGAGTTTTGCCAGCTCTTCTTGCAGCTGGCATTTGTCCATGGCCAGGTTCTCGCACTCCCCACGCAGGGCAGACAGCTCTTCTTGCAAAGCCTGATTTTTGGCCTCCAGCTGCGTGCACTGTTCACGTTCCCTGTCCAACTGCTGGGAAAGTTCAGCAACCTGCAGACAGAAAATAAAAAAAGGAACTCAGCGTGGTGTAAAGGCAGTGAATTCCTGGAAAACCTCAAAAGGGGGTGCCCAGGGAGACTTTATTCATCATCTGCTGGCTCAGGACTAGACACAAAGTGCAACCAGGCTTTTCTTTTCCAGCAAGAACAGCTTTCCCATCATTTGCCACAGGATTCCTCAGCTTCCCAGCCTTTTGGAGTTCCTCATGCAAAAATGCTCCAAGCTTCTGGACTCCAAAGGAATGACTGCAAAGGCAGGAAGCCATTCTACAGGGATGCCTTCAAACCCAAGCGTGACTCTGACAGACGCCGCTTTAGCAACGGATCCGAGTGACGAGCGGAGAAGGGATGAGAGGTTCTGTGCCACTGCTGCACAGGCACAGCAGCCTCAAAAGCACTGCTGGGAACAGCCCTTCTGGCTCCCCGCCACAGGATGGGCTGAAACAGCTCCCCGTGAGCAAGAAGGGACAGATTTTCCCCTGGGAGGCCCCTGTCCTCCTTGGGCCCTGGGCAGCAACAACACTGTGGAGAAAAGCCAAACCTCAAGGGCCTCCTGCTCAGCTCGTGCCTGAGACAGGGCTCAGGGGCTGATGGTGCCCTGCCAGTGACAGCGCTGTTCCTCCCCTCTCTGCCAGGGCAGCAATTCATCTGGCACACCCAGAGGACGCTGTCACAGCCTCCCTCCAGCTGCAGCCAGGCCTGAGCTGGGCCCCACTGCTCTCAGCCCATGCACGTGATGTCCTGCCAGGACGGCAGACCTGCCCATCCCTCAGGCCCAGCCGGGGGATCTGCACTCTTGGCTGACCCCGCTCACTCTCAGGGGACCTGTTCTGCTCTTCTTGCTCAGGGCCTGTGGGACGGCTCCCTGGCCCGGGAGCTCACGCACCCTGCCAGGCTGGCTGCCACTCCTGGCTTGCCCCTCCTCTGCAGGACAGCCTGGCCTCCATCAGCCCTTACACCTACTGCTTTGCCCTCAACATTTGCATCTTTCCCCAGAAGGAGAACTACCCCGGATTAGTTCGAGTCATCTCCCACTGGAACAGCAGGAGGAGCATTAAGAAAAGCCCATCACATCCAAAATGCAGCCAAGGGAATAAAAACATCCACATGACAAGAAATAGAGGGAAAGCATCTCCCAGCTTTCAAAAGAAGGAACACCACAACCAAAGAGCCCCACCCCGAGCACAGCTCACCTCTTTTTGGAATCTATCAACTTCCTTGACCTTTTCAGAATATCTCTTCTTCATTTCTTCCAGCTGGGACTGACTTCCTTTCTCTTCATTAACCCGGAGTTTCCTGCTCTCTGTCCTCAGAAGCTTTTCCAGCCTGCACAGCAAATCAGTGAAGAAAACCATGAAACACAGGAAGAACCAGCCTTTCCCCCACAGTCTCACAGAAACAGCACAGACAGCATCCAAGCCTAGAATGGCTTGGCTTGGCAGGGACATTAAAGATCATCCAGTTCCAAGCCTCCTGCTCTGGGCAGGGACACCTTCCACCAGACCAGCTTGTTCACAACCCCATCCAACCCGGCCTTGAACACTTCCAGCCAAGGGGCATCCACAGCTTCTCTGGGCAACCGGTTGCAGTTCCTCACCACCCTCACAGCAACCAATTTCTTCCCAGGATCAAATCTAAACCTATTCTCTTTCCGTTTGAAGCTATTCCCCCTTGTCCTCTCACTACCTGCTCTTTTAAATGCATTCTCTTCATCCTTCTTGTAGGCTCCCTTCACACCCCAAAAGGCCACAATTAGGTCACCCCAAAGCCTTCTCTTTTCCAGGCTGAAGGGTTGCAATTGTCCCAGCCTTTCCTCCTAGCAGAGGTGCTCCATCTTTCCAAGCACCTTGGTGGCCTCCTCTGGACTCAGTCCAACAGCTGGAGGTCCTTGCTGTGCTGAGGAGCCCAGAGCTGGATGCAACCCTCCAGCTGGGCTCTCCCAAGGGCAGAGCAGAGAGGCAGAATGCCCTCCCTCCACCCGCTGGCCACGCTGCCTTGGACGCAGCCCAGGACACAATTGGCTCTCTGGGCTGCGAGCGCACATCGCCGGCTCATGTCTGGCCTCTCCTCCAGCCCAAGGGCTTCTCGGCAGGGCTGCTCTGCCCCTCTTCATCCCCCAGCC